TACTCTATTATTACTGCTATTATTGCATTTCCATTATTTTACTTCATTATTATTATATTATTTTACTCTCTTTATCATTATTACATTTACAGTATTTTACCCTATTATTATTATTATTATTATTACATTCATTATTTTACTTTATTATTATTATTTTACACTATTTATGATTATTATTACATTTATTATTTTACTTTATTATTATTGCATTTATTATTTTACTCTATTATTACATTTATTATTCTATGCTATTATTACTGTTATTATTGCATTTCCCTTATTTTACTTTATTATTATTATTATTATTATTATTATATTTGTTATTTTACTCTCTTTATCATTATTACGTTTACAGTATTTTACCCTATTATTATTATTATTATTATTACATCTATTATTTTACACTATTTATGATTATTATTACATTATTATTATTTTACTTTATTATTATTGCATTTATTATTTTACTCTATTATTACATTTATTATTTATTATTATTACTGTCCCTTATTTCACTTTATTATTATTATTATATTTATTATTTTACTCTATTTATCATTATTACATTTACAGTATTTTACCCTATTATTAATTATTATTACATTTATTATTTTACACTATTTATGATTATTATTACACTTATTATTTTAGTTTATTATTATTGCATTTATTATTTTACTCTATTATTACATTTATTATTTATTATTACTGTTATTATTGCATTTCCATTATTTTACTTTATTATTATTACATTTATTATTTTATTATTATATTTATATTTATTATTTTATTATTGCTGGAAGGATACGTAAGTACATTTTCATTGAAGATATGTAATGATTTAATCAGAGTTGGGCAGTCTTATCTTAAATTATAGTTTTATATAAATATTAAAAAACATTTCACTTCTTGATGACTCAATTAATGTAATTTTATTGGTATGTATTTTTATTTTGAAATGTACCTGTAGTGGCAACAAGCTAGACTATTAATGGTCAGGAGCTCACTCCATGGAAATAATATTAGGTTGACAACAAGCTAGACTATTAATGGTCGGGAGCTCGCTCCATAGAAGTAATATTAGGTCGACAACAAGCTAGACTATTAATGGTTGGGAGCTCACTCCATGGAAGTAATATTAAGTCGACCACAAGCTAGACTGTTAATGGTCGGGAGCTCACTCCATCGAAGTAATATTAGGTCGACAACAAGCTAGACTATTAATGGTCAGGAGCTCCATGGAAGTAATATTAGGTCAAAAACAAGCTAGACTATTAATGGTCGGGAGCTCACTCCAACCCCGGCTGGCTTCAAACTCATGACCTCTCAGTCAGTAGTGATTTAATGCAGCTGGCTACTAACTAACTGCGCCACAGCCCGGTCCTCATGTTTTTGAACTGCTTGGTTGGCAGGAGCTGGAGCTAACAGCAGGAGCTCACCCCACTCCCGGGATTTGAACCGCCGACCAATCGGTCAGAAAGTTCAGCAGCTTGGTGGTTTAAACCTGTGCATAGCTTGAGAATATAGCTTGGCCAAAAATGATCTGGGGGAGCTTCCATTTGAAGCTCCACTCTAACACTCAACACTCAAAACCAGAAGGCCCCATCTGAATATATTTCCAGGAATCAGTCTTAAACCCTTGCCAGGATAAGTGATCCTATGTGTTGCTTTTTTCATAATTTTGTACGTTTTTCATAACTTTTTGTAATTTCACAAATTCCGGAAAAAATCCCTGAATGGGGAAAAAGTTTTAATTACTATCCTGAGCATTTGAGCTGGAGCAACACTGACACCTATAGGCCACAATGGGAACTGTGATGCAATTTGGCAAAAATAGACCTTGGCATTTGGGAGTTGTGGTTGCTGGGATTTATAGTTCGCCTGCAATCAGAGAGCATCCTGAACTCCACCAACGATAGAAATGAACCAAACTTGGTAAAAAGAACTCCCATGACCAACATAAAATACTGGAAGGGTTTGGTGGGCATTGACCTTGAGTTTGGGAGTTGTAGTTCACCTACATCCAGAGAGCACTGTGGACTCAAACAATGATGGATCTGGACCAAACATGGCACGGATACTCAATATTTCCAAATGCGAACACTGACGGAGTTTTGGGAAAATAGACCTTGCCATTTGGGAGTTGTAGTTGCTGGGATTTATAGTTCACCTATAATCAAAGAGCATTCTGAAGTCCACCAATGATTGAATTGAACTAAACTTGGCATACAGAACTCCCACAACCAACAGAAAATAGTGGAAGGGTTTGGTGGGCATTGACTTTGAGTTTGCGAGTTGTAGTTCACTGGAAGGGTTTGGTGGGCATTGACCTTGAGTTTGGGAGTTGTAGTTCACCTACATCTAGAGAGCACTGTGGACTCAAACAATGCTGGATCTGGACCAAACTTGGAACAGATACTCTATATTCCCATATGTGAACACTGGTGGAGTTTGGGGAAAATAGACCTTGTCATTTGGGAGTTGTAGTTGCTGGGATTTATAGTTCGCCTACAATCAAAGAGCATTCTGAACTCTACCAACGATGCAATTGAACCAAAGTTGGCCACACAGAACTCCCATGATGAACAGAAAATACTGGAAGGGTTTGGTGGGCATTGACTTTGAGTTTGGGAGTTGTAGTTCACTGGAAGGGTTTGGTGGGCATTGACCTTGAGTTTGGGAGTTGTAGTTCACCTACATCTAAAGAGCACTGTGGACTCAAATAATGATAGATTTGGACCAAACTTGGCATGAATACTCAATATTCCCAAATGTGAACACTGGTGGAGTTTGGGGAAAATAGACCTTGACATTTGGGAGTTGTAGTTGCTGGGATTTATAGTTCACCTAAATCAAAGAGCATTCTGAACTCCACCAATGATGGAACTGAACTAAATTTGGCACACAGAACTCCAATGGTCAAGAGCAAATACTGGAAGGGTTTGGTGGGCATTGACTTTGAGTTTGCAAGTTGTAGTTCACTGGAAGGGTTTGGCGGGCATTGACCTTGAGTTTGGGAGTTGTAGTTCACCTACATCCAGAGAGCACTGTGGACTCAAACTATGATGGATCTGGACCAAACTTGGCATGAATACTCAATATTCCCAAATTGAACACTGGTGGAGTTTGGGGAAAATAGACCTTGCCATTTGGGAGTTGTAGTTGCTGGGATTTATAGTTCACCTATAGTCAAAGAGCATTCTGAACTCCACCAATGATGGAATTGAACTAAACTTGGCACACAGAACTCCAATGGTCAAGAGCAAATACTGGATGGTTTGGTGGGCATTGACTTTGAGTCTGGGAGTTGTAGTTCACCTACATCCAGAGAGCACTGTGGATTCAAACTATGATGGATCTGGGCCAAACTTGGAGTTAATGACCGGAGCGATTCCTGCAAAGTTTGGAGCTTGACCCTTGGAAAGAAATCAAAGCCTCGTCGGGCAAAAGCGAGAGGGATCCCGTGGCAGGGCATGTCAGCACATGCAAGGTTGTCCGTAACCGGATCTCCTGGCGTCTTTGGAGGAGCGTTGTCCTCTTCTTTCAAGTCAGCATCTCTCATTCTCTCTCTGGAACATCCGTCGTTCACACACCATTTTTGTATGTTTGTTTGCTTGTTTAAGGCAGTGTTTCTCCACCTTCCCGAGGTTTCTCGTGTTGTGGTGACCCACAAACATAACATCGTATCCGTTGTGACTTCCATACGTGTCATTTTGCTCCTGTTATGAATCGTCATGCAAATATTTGTATTTTCATTCACTGGACCAAATTGGGCAGAAATACCTTTTGAATACTGGTGGGGTTGGGGAAATGATTTTGTCATTTGGGAGTTGTAGTTGCTGGGATTTATAGTTCACCTACAATCAAAAAGCACTCTGAACTCCACCAACGATGGAATTGAACTAAACTTGGCATACAGAACTCCCACAACCAACAGGGTTTGGTGGGCATTGACCTTGAGTTTGGGAGTTGCAGTTCGCTTACATCCAGAGAGTATTGTGGAATCAAACAATGACAGATCTGGACTTGGTACAAATCCTCAATATGCCCAAATCTGAACACTGGTGGAGTTTGGGGAAAATAGACTTGACATTTGAGAGTTGTAGTTGCTGGGATTTATAGTTCACCTACAATCAAAGAGCATTCTGAACCACAAAAATGACAAAATTGGGCCAAACTTTCCAACAGAAAATACCGGAAGGGTTTTGGTGGGCATTGACCTTGAGTTTGGGAGTTGTAGTTCACCTACATCCAGAGAGTATGATGGACTCAAACAATGATGGATCTGGACCAAACTTGGCACAAATACTCAATATGCCCAAATCTGAACACTGGTGGAGTTTGGGGAAAATAGACCTTGACATTTGGGAGTTGTAGTTGCTGGGATTTATAGTTCACCTACAATCAAAGAGCATTCTGAACTCCACCAACGATGGAATTGAACCAAACTTGGCACACAGAACTCCTATGACCAACAGAAAATACTGGAAGGATTTGGTGGGCATTGACCTTGAGTTTTGGAGTTGTAGTTTACCTATATCCAGAGAGCACTGTGGACTCAAACAATGATGGATCTGGACCAACACTTGGCACAATACTCAATATGCCCAAATGTGAACACTGGTGGAGTTTGGGGAAAATAGACCTTGACATTTGAGAGTTGTAGTTGCTGGGATTTATAGTTCACCTCTGACTCAGAGTCAGGCTCAGACTGAGCCACAACACCCAGGCAAACTCGCATGCCCATTGCCAACAGACCCAGGTCCACCACCATGAAGAACATCATCCCCATTCCCACCATGAACATCAGACACAATCACAGGTAGCCCAGTGCCTTTGACAAGTGCCTGAGAGCATTCCATTCTACGCTGATGGAATGTCAACCCTGTTTGTGGTTTTGTGTGTGAGTGTGTGTGTGAGCCAAAGAAGGGAGTGAAGAGAAGCAGCCGGCCATATCCTATTAACCATTAGCAGCCAACCAAGCCTCCCTCCCTCTTTAGAGTCCATTTAGTCATTAAGTAAACACAGCTCTTCACACACTTGGCGATGCACAGATGACAGGGAAACAATGCCACAGAGGGTAAGAATATAGCCTGTGCTGTCGGTTGTTTGGGGGAGACGACGTTGTCTCCCAACCACAGCCAAGCCATCGTTTTCTGTGGGTTGTGGTCTTCGTCTTCATCTACAGGGGCGACCTTGTGTGGTCATGGGAGGACCCGAAGATCAGGAGATGATTTGGTAGCACTCCAGAGCAGAGAGTCAAACTTGGGAGCCACAAGGTAATGAGAACACCATTTGTGGTCAGGAATGGCTTTGGAACAAACAGAGAGAGCTCCCACCTACAATGGAAGAGCGGCGACTGGTAAGGAAAGAAGGAAGGAAAGGTAAAAAGGAGGGAAGGAAGGAAGAAGAAAGGGAGGAGAGGGAAAGGAAGGATGAAAGGGTGGAAGGAGAAGAAGGGGGGGGAGGAAAGAGAGAAGGAAGGAAAGACAAAAAGGAAGGAATGAAGAGGAAGGAGAGAAAGGGAAGGAGGAGGAAAAGAAGGAAGGAAGGACAAAAGGGTGGAAGGGAAGGAAGGAGGGAGGGAGAAAGAAAGAGGAAAGGGAGGGAAGGAAGGAAGGAGGAAGGAAAGAGAGAAGGAAGGAAAGGCAAAAGGGAAGGACGTAAGAAAGGAAGGAAGGAGGGAAAGGAGGAAGGAAAGAGAAGGAAGGAAAGACAAAAGGGAAGGAAGGAAGAAGAGGGGGAAGGAGGGAGGAAAGAGGGAAGGAAGGGAGAGAAGAGAGAAGGAAGGAAAGACAAAACAGAAGGATATAAGAAGACAAGGAGTGAGGGAGGGAAGGAGGGAGGAAAGAGGGAAGGAAGGATGAAGGGGTGGAAGGGAAGGAGGGAGGGAGAGGGAGAGAAGGGAGGAGGGAGGAAAGAGAGAAGGAAGGAAGGACAAAAGGGTGGAAGGGAAGGAAGGAGGGAGGGAGAAAGAAAGAGGAAAGGGAGGGAAGGAAGGAAGGAGGAAGGAAAGAGAGAAGGAAGGAAAGGCAAAAGGGAAGGACGTAAGAAAGGAAGGAAGGAGGGAAAGGAGGAAGGAAAGAGAAGGAAGGAAAGACAAAAGGGAAGGAAGGAAGAAGAGGGGAAAGGAGGGAGGAAAGAGGGAAGGAAGGAGAGAAGAGGAGAAGGAAGGAAAGAAAAAGAAGGAAAGAAAGAAGGAGGAGAGGGAGAGGGAGGAAAGAGGGAAGGAAGGATGAAGGGGTGAGGGAAGGAGGAGGGAAGGAGGGGGAAGAAGAAAGGAAGGGAAGGAGGAAGGAAGGAGAAGAAAGGAAAGACAAAAGGGAAGGAAGAAGGAGGGAAAGGGGAGGAGGAAAAGAGGAAGGGAGAGAGGGAAGAGAGAAGGAAGGAAAGACAAAAGGGAAGGAGGAAGAAGAAGAAGTGAGGGAAGGGGGGAGGGAGGAAAGAGGAAGGAAAGAAGGGAAGGGAAGGAGGGAGGGAGGAAGAATGGGTGAAAGAGGGAAGGGAAGAAGGGGGGAGAGAGGGAGAAAGAGGGGGAGGAAAGGAAGGAGAGAAAAAAAGAAAGACAAAAGGGAAGAAAGGAAGGTGAAAGAGGGAGGAAAGAGAAGGAAGGGGAAGGATGAAAGGGAGGAAGAGAAGGATGGAAGGAAGGGTGGAAGGTAATAAAGTGAGGAAAGAGAAGGAAAGAAGACAAAAGGGAAAGAAGGAAAAGGGAGAAGGGAAGGAGGGAGGAAGGGAGGGAAGGAAGGATGAAAGGAGAAAGGGAAGGAGGGAGGGAGGAGAAAGAGAAAGGGGAGGGAAGAGGAAGGAAAGAGAAAGAAAGGAAAGACAAAAGGGAAAGGAAGGAAGAGGGAGAGAGGGAAGAAAGGATGAAAGAGTGGAAGGGAAGGAAGGAGGGAGGGAGAGAAGAGGGAGGAAAGGAGGAAGGAAAGAGAGAAGGAAGGAAAGACAAAAGAAGGATGAGAAGGAAGGGTGGAAAAGGAGGGGAGGAAAGGAGAAGGAAAGAGAGAATGAAGGAAAGACAAAAGGGAAGGAAGGAAGGAGAAGGGAGAGAGGGGAGGAGGAAGAGGGAAGGAAGGAGGAAGGAAGGAGGAAGGAAGGAAGGAAGGAAGAAGGAGGGAAAGAGAGGAAGGAGGGAAGGAGGGAAGGAAGGAAGGAAGGAAAAAGGGAGGAAGAGAAGGAGGAAGAAGGAAGGAGGAAGGAAGGAAGGGAAAGGAGGAAGGAAGAGAGAAGGAAGGAAAGACAAAAGGGAAGGAAGAAGAAAGGGAGGGAAGGAGAGGAGGGAGGAAAGAGGAAGGAAGAGAAGGGTGAAAGGGAAGGAAGGAGAAGGAGAAAGAGGAAAGGAAGGGAGGGAGGAAAGGAGGAAGGGAAGCGAGAAGGAAGGGAAGATAAAAGGGAAGGACAGAAGAAGAAAGGGAGAGAGGGAAGGAGGGAGGAAAGAGGGAGGAAGGAAGGACAAAAGGGAGGAAGAGAAGGGTGGAAGGATGGATGGAGGAGGGAGGAAAGAGAGAAGGAAGGAAAGACAAAAGGGAAGGAAGGAAGAAGAAAGGGAGAGAGGGGAGGGGGAGGAAAGAGGGAAGGAAGGAAGGACGAAAGGGTGGAAGGGAAGGGAAGGAAGGAGGGAGGGAGGCAGAAAGAGGAGAGGAAAGGAAGGGAGAGGGGAAGGAGGAAGGAAAGAGGGAAGGAAGGAAAGACAAAAGGGAGGAAGAGAAGGATGGAAGGTGATGCATTTGCAGTTTGGTGAGGCATCAGCACACCTGGAAAGAGAAGGCTAAAAAGCTAGTCAAACTACAACTCCCAGGAGAAGAAACTAATAATGTTGCTCATGATTCCTTCCATAGACACCAGAGTTGAATTTGAGTGGGTAAGGAGGTGGATGGTGCTGGGCGAGGGGGCCACCACAGATGAAGACCGGACCAAGGAAGGGGATGAGTCCATTGCCGGGCCCTCGGAGAGTAATGCCCACTCAGTTCCTTTGCAAGAGACTTGGAGGGAGCTCCACGGGGCGGCCCGAGATGGGGACAAGCGCCTGGTCAAGCAACTCTTGAAGCAAGGGGCAGCCACAGAGGACAGGTGAGGAGGGCTGGGCAGGCAGGTGGCAACGTGCCAACATTGGCACCAAAAACCCTCATATAAATCAAGTTCTATTATTTTATTATGCACTAGCTTGGGTCGCCAGCATTGCATAACGTTATGGGTGAACTACATCTCCCATCACGCCAGATTAACCCCAAAAAACACTATCAGTACTTAAAGTTTGTTAGGAACCCTGGGATGTCTGTGGTGGAGGAAACACAGAAATCTAGGATGAAATGGGCCATGTATGAAAGCCTTCACTTGAGTGATGGGCAGTATGGTGTTGGTGGAGGACATTGGCAGAGAGTAAGAAACACTGGGATGTCTGTGGTGGAGGAAACACAGAAAATTTAGGCTGAAATTGTCCCCTTTTGAACACTTTCACTTGGGTGACGGGCAGTGTGGTGTTAGTGGAGGACATTGGCAAAGAGTAAGAAACACTGGGATGTTTGTGGTGGAGGAAACACAGAAAATTTAGGCTGAAATTGTCCTGTTTTGAACACCTTCACTTGGGTGAGAATACTGCCCATCACACCACTTGGGTGTTGGGCAGTATGGTGTTAGTGGAGGACATTGGCAAAGAGTAAGAAACACTGGGATGTCTGTGGTGGAGGAAACACAGAAAGTTTAGACTGAAATTGTCCCCTTTTGAACACTTTCACTTGGTTGATGGGCAGTATGGTGTTAGTGGAGGACATTGGCAGAGAGTAAGAAACACTGGGATGTCTGTGAAGGAGGAAACACAGAAAATCTAGGCTGAAATTGTCCCCTTTTGAACACCTTCACTTAGGTGATGGGCAGTGTGGTGTTAGTGGAGGACATTGGCAGAGAGCAAGAAACACTGGGATGTCTGTGGTGAAGGAAACACAGAAAATTTAGGCTGAAATTGTCCCCTTTTAAACACCTTCACTTGGGTGATGGGCAGTATGGTGTTGGTGGAGGACATTGGCAAAGAGTAAGAAACACTGGGATGTCTGTGGTGGAGGAAACACAGAAAGTTTAGACTGAAATTGTCCCCTTTTGAACACTTTCACTTGGTTGATGGGCAGTATGGTGTTAGTGGAGGACATTGGCAGAGAGTAAGAAACACTGGGATGTCTGTGAAGGAGGAAACACAGAAAATCTAGGCTGAAATTGTCCCCTTTTGAACACCTTCACTTAGGTGATGGGCAGTGTGGTGTTAGTGGAGGACATTGGCAGAGAGCAAGAAACACTGGGATGTCTGTGGTGGAGGAAACACAGAAAATTTAGGCTGAAATTGTCCCCTTTTAAACACCTTCACTTGGGTGATGGGCAGTATGGTGTTGGTGGAGGACATTGGCAGGGAGTAACAAACACTGGGATGTCTGTGGTGGAGGAAACACAGAAAATTTAGGCTGAAATTGACTCCTTTTGAACACCTTCTCTTGCGTGATGGGCAGTATGGTGTTAGTGGAGGACATTGGCAGGGAGTAAGAAACACTGGGATGTCTGTGGTGGAGGAAACACGTAAAATCTATGAGGAAATTGTCCCTGAAGGCTCGTTGTGTCCGACTCTTGCTTCCTCCTTCTTCTTCCAGAGACGAGAACGGGTGGACGCCCTTACACGCTGCGTCGCTACATGGTCATGTCATGCTGGTGAGGTTTCTCGTCCGGCGTGGAGCCGTGATCCACGCCACTGACAATGCCGGCTACACGCCGCTGCACTTTGCCGCCTGGAGCGGCCACACTCAGGTGGCCGACTTCCTCGTGACTCGTGGTGCTCCGGTCACTGCCTCCAGCCAAGGAGGCCTCACCCCGCTTCACTGTGCCGCCGCCAATGGGCACATGCTTGCAACACAACTCCTTCTGCAGCATGGCAGCAATCCGGTGTTTGGGGACCATAACCAATGGGCTGCCTTGCACTGGGCCACGGCCAACAACCGGCTGCACATCATGGACCTCCTCCTCTTCCAGCATTGCAGCCCGGATCTAAGATGCCGAGGAGGCATCGCTCCCTTGCATATCGCAGCCGAGGTTGGAAGAACGGAAGCGGTGCACCTCTTACTCGAGAAGGAGGCGCATGTAAACATCCAGGATGATTTGGGAAGGACGCCACTTTCCGTTGCTTCCACCAACGGCAATCGTGAGGTTGGCCTTTTAAGAAATCATTCCTAGTAGAAGTTCAACTGGGCAAAAACGTGTGAGATTCACACACGAGGCCTTCTCAAACTGAGGCTTACCTCACAGACAGGCTTCTCTCACAGACGAAGGCCTACCTCACACTGTGAGGCCTTCTCACAGACTGAGATCTTTCTTTATAACAAATTAATGTGGTTGCAGTATTTACTAGTATAAGGTTTCCATAACACAAATAAAGTTCAATTTTCACACTTGAGCTTCACACACAAGGCCTTCTCATACCAAGGCTTCTCTCACAGACAGGCTTCTCTCACAGATGAAGGCATACCTCACACTGTGAGGACTTCATACAGACTGAGACTTTTCTTTATAACAAAATAATATGGTTGCACTATTTACAAGAACAAGGTTTTCATAACACAAATGAAGTTCAACCTTCACACTAGAGCTTCACACACAAGGCCTTCTCATACCGAGGCTTAACTCACAGACAGGCTTCTCTCACAGAGTAAGACCTACTTCACACTGTGAGGCCTTCTCACAGAGACTTTTCTTTATAACAAAATAATATGGTTGCATTATTCACAAGAACAAGGTTTTCATAAAACAAATAACATTCAACCTTCACACTAGAGCTTCACACACGAGGCCTTCTCATACCGAGGCCTACCTCACAGACAGGCTTCTCTTACAGACTAAGGCCTACCTCACACTGAGACCTTTCTCCCACTGAGGCAGACTAACACAGAGGCCTACTAAGTTCACACTTGAGATTCACACACAAGGCCTTCTCATCCCGAGGCTTACCTCACAGACAGGCTTCTCTCACAGATGAAGGCATACCTCACACTGTGAGGCCTTCTCACAGACTGAGACTTTTCTTTATAACAAAATAATATGGTTGCACTATTTACAAGAACAAGGTTTCCACAACACAAATAAAGTTCAACCTTCACACTAGAGATTCACACATGAGGCCTTCTCATACCGAGGCTTACCTCACAGACTGGTTTCTCTCAGACGAAGGCCTACTTCACACTGTGAGGCCTTCTCACAGACTGAGACTTTTCTTTATAACAAAATAACATGGTTGCACTATTTACAAGAACAAGGTTTTCATAACACAAACAAAGTTCAACCTTCACACTAGAGCTTCACACATGAGGCCTTCTCATACCGAGGCCTACCTCACAGACAGGCTTCTCTTACAGACTAAGGCCTACTTCACACTGAGACCTTTCTCCCACTGAGGCAGAGTAACACAGAGGCCTACTAAGTTACAGGCACACCTGAGTCCACTACATTCACCATATAATGGAACTCAAACTTCATTATATGGCAGTGTAAAACCGTGTGTGTGTGTGGAGTGATTTGAGAAACTGCAAGTCGCTTCTGGTGTGAGAAAATTGGCCGTCTGCAAGGATGTTGCCCAGGGGACCCCCGGTTGTTTTACCATCCTTGTGGGAGGTCTCTGCCATGTCCCTGCATGGGGAGCTGGAGCTGACGGAGGCAGCTCATCCATGCTCTCCCATTGCGCCACCTTGTGAGCTCCCACTTACATGGTCAGGCAATGTGCAAACTTGGGGCTGCATGCTAGCACACCCTGCTAGGAGGACTGGTTGCCCGGTGATGGATGGAAGAAGGAAGGAAGGAGGAGGAAGGAAGGAGAAAGGAGAGGGAAGGAAGAAAAATGAAAGGGTGGAAGGGAAGGATGGAAAGAAAGAGGAGAGAGGAGGGAGGAGGGAGGAAGGAAGGAAGGGAAGGAAGGAAGGAAGGAAGGAAAGAGGGAAAGAAGGAAGGAGGAAGGAGAAAAGAGAAGGAGGAGGAAGGAAAGAAGGAAGGAAAGGGGAAGGAAGGAAGGAAGGAAGGAAGGAAGGAAGGGAAGGAAGGAAGGAAGAAGGAAAGGAAGGAAGGAAGGGAAAGGAAGGAAGGAAGGAGGAAGGAAGAAGAAGGAAGGAAGGAGAAAAGGGTGGAAGGGAAGGAAGGAAGAGAGAGGGGAAGGAAGGAAGGAAGAAGGAAGGAAGAAGGAAGGAGAAAGAGAGGAAGGAAGGAAGGAAGGAAGGAAGGAAGGATGAAAGGGTGGAAGGGAAGGAAGGATGGAAGGAGAAAGATTGAGAGAGGGAAGGAAGGAAGGAAAGAAGGAAGGAAGGATGAAAGAAGGAAGGAAGGAAGGAAGGAAGGAAGGAAGGAAGGAAGGATGAAAGGGTGGAAGGGAAGGAAGGATGGAAGGAGAAAGATTGAGAGAGGGAAGGAAGGAAGGAAAGAAGGAAGGAAGGATGAAAGGGTGGAAGGGAAGGAAGGATGGAAGGAGAAAGATTGAGAGAGGGAAGGAAGGAAGGAAGAAAAAGAGCCAGAAGGAAGGAAGAAAGAATGAAAGGGTGGAAGGGAAGGAAAGATGGAAGGAAGGAAGGATTAAATGGTGGAAGGGAAGGAAAGATGGAAGGAGAAAGAGGAAGGGAAGGAGATAAGGAGGAAGGAAAGAGAGGAGAAAAGGGTGGAAGGAAATGGAGGGAGGGAGGAAAGAGAGATGGAAGGAAAGACAAAAGGGAAGGAGGGAAGAATAGGGAGAGAGGGAAAGAAGAAAGGATGAAAGGGAAGGAAGGAGGGAGAGAGAAAGAGGGAGGAAGGGAAAGAGAAAGAGCGAGGGAAGGAGAAGGAAAGAATAGGATGGCGAGAGAGAGGCGGGCCTGAGAAAAGAGCCCAAGGGGCCGCACCCGGCCCGCGGGCCTGGGTTTGCCCATACCTGGTGTAGACGGTAGACCCATACAATGCACTGAATTGCATTATATGGGTATACACATTATACATCAGTGTGTATATTCAGCCTCAGCCTCCGTTTCTCCAAGCAGAACATCCCCATCTCCGAGGGCTTGGCTTCCTAACTTTGATCCTTTTGGTCTCCCTTCTTCTCCTTCCTGCTCTACACCCAAGAAGTTGGAGAGATATGATGTGGACCTCTTTCTTCTCTCGTTCGCCAGGTTGTGGAGGAGCTCCTCAAGGCTCAAGCGGATGTGAACCTGGCCGACGGTCATGGCTGCACCCCGCTCCACAAGGCCACAGCTGCCGGGCACTTGCCCATCGTGTGCCTCCTGGTCGGGGAAAACGCCGCCAGCGTCTATGCGAGGGACAGCCTCGGCTTCACCCCACTCCACCGAGCCGCCATCTGCAGCCACGTGGAGATAGCCAGCTTCCTCCTGGACCACGGCGCCCACGTCAACGTGGTGGGGTGGCTCAGCAAGACCCCTTTGCATCTCGCCTCGGAAAAAAGGCACTTCCCATTCATGGAACTTTTGTTGACGAATGGTGCAGACCTTTCTCTGAGGACTCAGTGGCAGGAGACGGCTGAAGATCTGGTGCCGAAGCTTCAAGTTTAGGAGACTGTGCTGGCACGGCTGTGCCAGGAGATTTGAATTTCCTTTCTTGCACTGTTAGTTCGTTTGAATTCATTTGGGCCTTGCATTTTGCAATTGGGTAGCTTTCCCCAGGTTGCAATCATAGGGCCAACAACCTATCAATCATCATTAGAGCCCTTAGATCCGCCCCTTTCCCCAGGTTTTGGAGGGGAAAGGGGACTTTCAGTTCAGTCTCACAGTTTGAAGCCTTACAGTAGGATGTGTGGGCTTCTCTCTACCCCACTTGTAAAAAGCTTTGCTTCTTATAGCTCCACCAGGGCAAAAGAAATAGATCTACAGCCAGCTCTGCCGGCTGTAGATCTATGTGCCGTCGCTCCTGGGGGCTATAGCTCTTAGTGAAAGAGGCATGGACGTGACATCTTTCCCCAGGGGATTGCTTCTTGCCCTCCTTTAGGAAACTGGAACTCTCAAAGACCCAAACACTGTAGATAACTCAAAATAAGTTTTATTGTTCACAAAGAGTTATCTCTTTAAAGCAATAAGCTGGACGTTTCAGAGGGATGAAGGAAAATATACATTACAGTCTCAGTTAGTTTTGGGTCCAAGGAGTTTGCAGCTGAGAAGCTTTTCCAAGTTTCCTCTTTCCTCAATGGCTGTAAATGCCGGAGCAATCCACAACCCCAGTCCAGATGGCCTATGTCTGAAGACACAGGGTCTTCCTTTGGTGCCAAATGAACTGGTCTGAAGGCGCTTGAGACTTCCCAACGTCGTTCAGGTTGGTCTGAACATGAAGTATAAGTCTCAAGGGTAAAAAAAACCCTCAGAATTGGTGCTGAGAGGTAATTTAATCAGGGGCTTTTAGAGCCAAGTCTCTTACGCACGTCCATCTGATAGAAACTCTGCTGGCAGAATGAAAAAAGGGAAGCACTCCCCTCCTCCAGGAAGAGATGGAGCTAAACAATTGAGCTGAGAAAGCAATTCAACTGGTGCAAACAACATTGATTGACAGCTATAAATAACCAATCAATCCAACTATACATAAGCAGGGTAAAAAGGCAGGATTAAGCATGATACAACAGTTTAAATCTTGCAACTAGCAGTTCTACGCATAGGTGGCGCCACTCGCGCTATCACAATATAGATCTACAGCAGTGGTTCTCAACCTGGGGTCCCCAGATGTTTTTGGCCTACAATTCCCAGAAATCCTAACACCTGGTAAACTGGCTGGGATTTCTGGGAGTTGTAGGCCAAAAACATCTGGGGACCCCAGGTTGAGAACCACTGATCTACAGCCAGCTTTTGCTGGGAAAAGGGACGACTTCTACAGCTTTGCTGGGGAGTAAAGTTACAGTTCCACAGCCTTTGTGGAGAAACTAAAAGGACACCAGCTTGGCAGATCTGCAGCAACCATTGCCTGGTAAGGGACCACTCGGGCTATCCATAACGCAGCTGGAGCCGGGAGTTGGGGCCTCACGCCAGCAGGGTTAAGAAAGAGAGGTCGGAAGTTTTCCCTAAAGAAGATAGGAACAGTTTATCAAGCAGTTGCCTGTCCCTTGTTGGCGGATCGAGAAAGCTACCCGTTTTTCAAGATTATATGGCATTTTATTCATTTGTTCGAAGAATTAAGCCTTAATAAAGAACTTTGTTGGTCTTATTTTGAGCCTCTACAGAACTTTGTGTTGGGAAACCTGTGGGACCCTTTAGCTGAGGCACCCTGGCGTCCCGTTGGGCATACAGAAAGCACGTCCTATAAACAGACATTGTCATAGGCCCAGCTCGCGACTGCACAGTTTCAGGCAACCTCAGGCACAGGCGTGGAAGAAAGCTTGAACTCCATCATATGGGTCTACATCAATGTTTCTCAACCTGGGGGTCATGAGGAGGGGTTTCAGAGGGGCCACCAAAGACCATCAGAAAAGACATATTTCTAATGGACTTAGGGACCCCTTTGGCAGAGAAGGCTGAAGATCTCTCCGCCTGGCCTTCTCTTCTGTTTTGGAAACCAACGGCAAATTCTCCAACCAAAAGTTCTCCTCTACTGTGATTGGCCGGCCTTTCAACCAAGGGGAGGGCTGTTTCTGAGACTCCAGGCGAGGAGGGGAGAGCAAGCGGGCTCAGCGCATGTGTGGGGCAAGGGAGAGCATGCAAGGCTGGAGGGAGGTTCGTGCCAGCAAGTCCATTCAAAGCATTAGGGTTCTGTGTGGGAAGTTTGGTCCAGTTCTATCATTGGTTGGGTTCAGAATGCGCATGTGCGGGCGAGGGAGAGCATGTGAGGCTGGAGGGAGGCTTGTGCCATTGTTGGTGGAGTTCAGAATGCTCTTTGATTGTATCGTGAACTATAAATCCTAGCAATTACAACTCCCAAATGTCATGGTCTGTTTCCCCCAAACTCCACCAGCGTTCACATTTGGATAGCTTGAATATCTGTGCCAAGTTTGGTCCAGATCTATCATTGAGTCCACAGTGCTCTCTGGATGTAGGTGAACTACAACTCCCAAACTCAAGGTCAATGCCCACCAAACCTTTCCAGTATTTTCTGTTGGTTGTGGGAGTAATATGTATCAAGTTGGGTTCAATTCCATTGTTGTTGGGGTTCAGAATGCTCTTTGATTGTAAATGAACCAGAAATCCCAACAACTAGAACTCCCAAATGACAAAATCAATGAGGATCTTGGGGGCATGAACTGTCAAAAAGAAAGAAAATTGTAATGAGCTTTGTGTTTCTAAAGCCAAATCCGGTTAGCGCCAAGCAGATGGCACAGCTTTTAATCCTAATCCTTTTCCTAGAGAAGAGTTTAAGAACATTTAGGTTTCGGACGACGTCTTCCAGAACATCAAGAACTTCAAAATGTGTAGCTTATGCGAGTGGTGGATTTTGAAGCAAGAGCACATTCCAGACCTTCTCTTTGTCTGCTCCTCTCTCTGCTTCTCTGCAAGCATCTGCCCAGCTCAGGCATGAAAAATGTAACAGTATCCAAAAGTCCCAGGCTCAGCATGGAGGGCTGTTACCTTCCCACAGAAGCTACCTATTGATCTACTCACATTTGCATGTTTTTGAACTGCTAGGTTGGCAGGAGCTGGGGCTGACAGCGGGAGCTCATCCCGCTCCCCAGATTTGGACCTGCGACCTTGAAGCAAGAGCACATTCCAGACCTTCTCTTTGTCTGCTCTTCTTTCTGCTTCTCTGTAAGCATCTGCCCAGCTCAGGCGGGAAAAATGTAACAGTATCCAAAAGTCCCAGGCTCAGCATGAAAAATGTAACAGTATCCAAAAGTCCCAGGCTCAGCATGAAAAATGTAACAGTATCCAAAAGTCCCAGGCTCAGCATGGAGGGCTGCTACCTTCCCACAGACGCGGTATCTATTGATCTACTCACATTTGCATGTTTTTGAACTGGAAGGTTGGCAGGAGCTGGGGCTGACAGCAGGAGCTCCCCGTGCTCCCCGGATTTGGACCTGCGGCCTTGAAGCAAGAGCACATTCCAGACCTTCTCTTTGTCTGCTCTTCTTTCTGCTTCTCTGTAAGCATCTGCCCAGCTCAGGCGGGAAAAATGTAACAGTATCCAAAAGTCCCAGGCTCAGCATGAAAAATGTAACAGTATCCAAAAGTCCCAGGCTCAGCATGAAAAATGTAACAGTATCCAAAAGTCCCAGGCTCAGCATGGAGGGCTGCTACCTTCCCACAGACGCGGTACCTATTGATCTACTCACATTTGCATGTTTTCGAACTGCTAGGTTGGCAGGAGCTGGGGCTGACAGCAGGAGCTCACCCCGCTCCCCGATTTGGACCTGCGACCTTGAAGCAAGAGCACATTCCAGACCTCTTTGTCTGCTCCTCTCTCTGCTTCTCTAGGTGTGAAAAATGTAACAGTATCCAAAAGTCACAGGCTCAGCAAGTTCAGCAGCTCAGCAGCTCCAGCCTTCTTCACTGCCATGCAAAACCCAGATTATCCGACTGGAACCGGATTATATGGCAGTGTAGACTCACCTAATCCATTTCATAGCAGATCAAGAGGATTATTGGTTATTGTTTATATGTGATTTATGTTAATTGTATTGTGTTTATTGTTTTGTTTATTGCTTTTTGTTTTTATTGATGTGTTGTTGGGTTTGGCCTCATGGAAGCCTCTCCGAGTCCCTTGGGGAGATGGTGGCGCGGTATAAATAAAGTTTTATTATATTTATTAGACATTATTATTATTATTATTATTATTATTATTATTATTATTATTATTATTATTATTATTATTATTATTATTATTATCTGCTTTGATCATGAGCAGTGTAGAAGGTGCCTTAGAGCGGCCTGTCTCTTTAAGAGACGTCCAGGTCAACAGAGTGGCGAATGAGATCGGAAGTGTAGGGGCGAGCATTACCTTGCCGTCCTCTTTGGCGCTCTGTCTTCCCGGGAAGGAGGCGTCGCCGGGCGCTCCGCGTGGTCCTAAAGCCCGCCTCTTCTTCAGCACTTCCTTTTCCTTTTCCAAGATGGTGTTCCTAACCTCCAGTTTGTGGCTCCGGAGTCGTTTGACCGACCGCTTCTGGCGCAAGCAAGAGGTGCTTCAGCATGCCCGGGTAAGCTAGGCCTCACGGGGAAAGAAAGGGGCTTGCTTCCCTTGTTGGCCTTCCTTACTTCCACCCCTCTTCCTTTTCCTCTTCCAGCATTTCCGGGGAAGGAAGAACCGGTGCTACGCCTTGGCGGTCCGGGCTGTGCGGAGGGCCTTCGTGTATGCAACCAACGCCCGGTGCCTCAAGAAGAGAGACATGAGAAAGGTAAAGGGACATGGGAAACTGCCTTTGGCATGGCGCTTAGGTTCCTCAGTTGTTAGACTGATAGGCCTAGGCATCTCTTTGAACTGTTAGGGACAAAGATATGTCAATGTACATATCATAGAATACTAATAATAATAAATATATCTATAATATTGTATAATACTACTACTGCTTATTATTTATTTATTTATTTAAAACATTTATATTCCGCCCTTCTCACCCCGAAGGGGACTCAGGGCGGAGCACAGCATATACACGGCAAACATTCATTGACGGGACACAGATTCACATACAATACATAAACATTAAAACATTGATCAAAATATTAAAATACACCATTTAAAACCATCCTAGTCATCCATGTCAAGTCTAACTGGCCTGGTCATCTTTCCTATTGCCACTTTATTGCCCTGTCCTGAAAGCCTGGTCCCACAGCCAAGGTTTGACCATCCTCCTAAAGGACAGGAGGGAGGGGTGATCTTTCGGAGACTTGATCCATATACTTCACACATTGACTCCGGTTTCAGAGAAAGGAGTTGAACCAATTGAGGGCCTGACCGTGAACTCCAGACATGGCAAAATGGTGAATCAATGGTGTCAAACGCTATCGTAAGGTCAAGAAGTACCGGTAACGCCGATCCGCTGCTATCAGACTGGCAACGAAGTTCATCCGTAATGGCAACCAGGACTGTCTCCATCCCATGGCCAGGGTGGAAACCTGACTGGAAGGGTCCAGGCCGGCTGTGTCATCCAAAAATTGTTGCAATTGTCCCAGTACAGCCTGGTGATGGCGTGATCGTCAGCATAGATGAAACTCTCTGTCCCTTCTGGCAGTGGCTGGTCATTTGTGTTGATGTTAACCATTGATCGAGCAAGCCGGTTTCCCCTGTAATAGGCAGAAGAGCACCTAAAGCTTTGGAGAGCTTCTCTTCAACAATCTCAAAGCTTCCTGCTTGAGTGGTGATGGCGTGATCGTCAGCATAGGTGAAACATCTATCCCTTCTGGCAGTGGCGGGTTATTTGTGTAAATGCTAAACATTGGTGGAGCAAGCTGGTTTTCCCTGTGATAGGCAGTAAGAACACCTAAAGCTTCGGAGAGCTTCTGTTCAACCATTTCAAATCTCTCTGCTTGAGTGGTGATGGCACAATCGTCAGCATAGATGAAACTGTCCCTTCTGGCGGTGGCTGATCATTTGTGTAAATGCTAAACATTGATGGAGCAAGCTGGTATTCCAAGTAATAGGCAGTAAGAGCACCTAAAGCTTCAGAGAGCTTCTGTTCACCCGTTTCAAAGCTCCTTGTTTGGGTGGTGATGGCACGATCGTCAGCATAGATGAAATTCATGAAACTCACAGATGAAACTTGAGCGGGTGGATATAAATGGCCCAATGTACTAAAATAAAAGTATAGTTTCCAATTAAAATGTTTGTCAAAGAAGCACCCTGCAGATCCCGTTGGACTACAGCTCCTATTGTCCCAGATGGTTGGCCATATTGGCCAAAAGTGATTGAAATTGGAATGCAGTCCTTGTAGCATTGCAGCCTGAATAAATACTGCTCTTCATTCCCTGTTTCTGTTTCCAGCTTTGGGAGACCAGGATTGAAGCCGCATCTCTTGAACACGGTGTGCAGTACCACGTCTTCATGAGCGGCCTTTATAAGGTAACCTGTTGTTCTTCTATTTCAAGGCCGTTTGTAGTGAATCTTGCCTTGTAGGCTGGAAAAGAAGCCTGGATAACAGTTTCTACTGGCCCTAACAAAGTAGTGGGTTCTTAATGCCTTTAGCCCAGTTTCTGCCTACCTAGCAGTACAAAAACAAATCTATATAAATAAAAATGTCATGTTCGTTTGTGGGATTAACAGAACTCAAGAACCACTGCATGAATGGACACCAAATTTGGACACAAGACACCTAACAACCCAATGTATGTCCTTCATTAAAAAAAAATCATTTTGTCATTTGGTAGTTGTAGTTGCTGGGATTTATAGTTCACCTACAATCAGAGAGCATTCTGAACCCCACCAATGATGGAATTGAACCAAACTTGACACACAGAACTCCCACGACCAACAGAAAATACTGGAAGGGTTTGGTGGGCATTGACCTTGAGTTTTGGAGTTGTAGTTCACCTACATCTAGAGAGCACTGTGGACTCAAACAATGATAGATCTGGACCAAACTTGGCACAATATGCAATATACCCAAATATAAACACAGATGGAGTTTGGGGGAAATAGACCTTGACATTTGGGATTTGTAGTTTCTGGGATTTATAGTTCACCTACAATCAAAGAGCATTCTGAACCCCACCAACGATAGATTTGGGCCACACCTCCCACACACAACCACAGCAATGCATGGCAGGGGAAGGCTAGTTACATTATAATATTATAATTATATAATTTTATAATTATAATTAAATCTATATATATATAAATGCTCTGTGCGTAATGAGTACCTTAAAAACAAAAAAACTACTGGGCCAAATGACTCCAAATTTGGCAACAAAACTTCTCACAATCCAAGGAATGACCATCACTGAAAACCCCCCCACAAAAAATACGTTTAAATTCAAAATATTACTCTATTAATAGACTCATAGAAGAGAGTTAGAAGGGACTCTATCATAGTATTGCGGGAGAACAGACAGGAAGGAAGGAGAGAAGAAAGGGAGGGAGGGTCAAAGGGAAGGAATGTAGGAGGGAAAGGGAGGAAGGAGGGAGGGAAGAAAGGAAGGAGGAAAGGAAGGAGGGAGGGAAGGAAGAAAGGAAGGAGGGAGGGAGGGAAGGAAGGAAGGAGGGAGGGAAAGAAGGAGGAAAGGAGGGAAGGAAGGAGGAAAGAAAGAAAGGAAGGAGGGAAGGAAGGAGGGAGGGAGGGAGGGAAGGAAGGAAGGAAGGAAGGAGGAAAGGAGGGAGGGAGGGAAGGAAGGAAGGAAGGAAGGAGGAAAGGGAGGGAAGGAAGGAGGAAAGGAAGGAAGAAAAGGAGAAGGAAAGAAAGGAAATGAAGGGGAAGGAAGGAAGGAGGGAAGGAACGGAGCGAAGGAACGAAGGAAAGAAACAGGTACCAAAGGAAGGAAGAAGAGAAAGTAGAAAGGAAAGATAAAGGGGAGGAAAGAGGCAGGAAAAAGTTAAAGAAGGAAGGAAAGAGAAAAGGAAATAATAAATGAAATCAGGAAGGAAACAGGGAGGGAAGAAAGGAGACAAAGGAAGAAGTAGAGAAAGGGAGAGGGAAAGAAGAAAGAAAGAGAGAAGGAAGGATGAAACCAAAGAGCAAAAGAAGGAATGAAAAAAAGAGGTACAGAAGGAGGGAAGGAAGGAGGAAAGGGAGGGAGGGAGGGAGGGAGGGAGGGAAGGAAGGAAGGAAGGAAGGAAGGAAGGAAGGAAGGAGAAAGGAAGGAAGGAAGGGGGGAAGGAAGGAAGGAGGAAAGGGAGGGAAGGAAGGAAGGAAGGAAGGAAGGAAGGAAGGAAGGAAGGAAGGAAGGAAGGAAGGAAGGAAGGAAGGAAGGAAAGAAGGGAAAGAAGGAAGGAAGAAAGGAAGGAAGGAAGGAAGGGAGAAAGTAGAAAGGAAAGATAAAGGGGAGGAAAGAGGCAGGAAAAAGTTAAAGAAGGAAGGAAAGAGAAAAGGAAATAATAAATGAAATCAGGAAGGAAACAGGGAGGGAAGAAAGGAGACAAAGGAAGAAGTAGAGAAAGGGAGAGGGAAAGAAGAAAGAAAGAGAGAAGGAAGGATGAAACCAAAGAGCAAAAGAAGGAATGAAAGAAAGAGGTACAGAAGGAAGAAAGGAGAGAAAGGGGAAGAAAAAGGGGGGAAGGAATAGGTAGGTCCAGATATCTACCTCTACTTCGAAAATTCTTACTACAGGTCACAGCAACGTGTGGCAGGGCACAGCTAGTATATATTATAATTATATTATCATATTATAATTGAGGGGTTTCGACTGTCATTTCAGTGTCAAGTGGAACTGAACCGGAAAGCGCTGGCCGACCTGGCGATCTACGAGCCGAGGACGTTCAAGTCCTTAGCTGCTTTAGCCAAAAGGAGAGGAGAAGAAGGCCTGCTTGCTGCCCAAGGAGATGGAAAGGAACCCAATGGGATATTCTCACGTCTTTTTAAATATGTTTGAAGGTGTCGCTGGGCTTAAATTAAAAATGGGACTGTTTTGGAAAATTTGGTCTGTGGCTTGCTGAAATGGCGAGAAGGTTTTTCTTTTCTGCTAGTGTTTGGAGATTTTGTATGGGATGTTTGGGTCTCCTGAAAAGGGGAACTCCAGACAAGAAACCATCAGGGACAACTAATCGCCTCTCAACAAAGGATTCCCCCAAGCAGTAAGAAGCCACACCTTGAAGCTGCTAGGCCATTAAATGCTAATCAAGGTGGCCAATAATACAATGTTCTGGTTGCAGATGACACGATAAATAAATAAGGTGGCCAATGGAAACGTTCACACCTACCTCCAACAGACAAGAGTTCTTTCTCCCACCCCACAGATAGATAAACCCCATTTCCCCGTTTCCAACCAACCTCCCAACCTCTGAGCATGCCTGCCATAGATGTGGGAGAAACGTCAGGAGAGAATGCTTCTGGAACATGGCCAGACAGCCCGGAAAACATAACAACAACCCAGTGATTCTGGCCATGAAAGCCTTCGACAATACACTGTTTGGGTCTTGTTTGGCAGCCATTTTTTATAGTGGAATCACCTTGCCTCTGTCTACAAATCGTATTATATATGTCCTAATGCGGGCAAAGAGCTCTTGAAAATGTGGCAGTGTGGACAGGGTCCTCTTTATGTATTCGTTGCCTTGTCTTCTCTGGAAGGATAGAAGGAAGAAGGCTCTGTGAAATTAAAAGCTGAAGGTCTGCCTGGGATGATAACTGATCTTTGTCTGGCTAGGAAAAGAAGACAGGGGAACTCCAGACAAGAAACCATCAGGGACAGCTAATCAATTGGGCCTCTTTGGGAGACAGTTCCACTGCTTGGAAGTAGATACTAAGGGTGCATCTACATTGAAATTAATGCAGTTTGAAGCCACTTTAACTACCATGTTTTCATGCTCATGGTTTAGGACAAATGGCAAGCTATTTGACGTTTCCTTCTTGGGAGCAGAACAATGACCAACATACAATTATTATATAATGTAATACAATATACAAATAATAATACAATATAATGTGCAATAGTGCAATTGTATGAGTCATATTACATGTAAAATACAATATACAATCATTTTATTATATATTATATTGTATTATTATTAGTATGTTGTATTACATTATATAATTATCAATATGATACCATATTCTAATAATAATACAATATAATTATACTATAATATACTGCAATATTATTAGTCATATTACATATAAAATATACAATTATTTTATATTGTATTAGTATATTGTATTACATTATATAATTATCGATATAATATGATACAATATTCTAACAAGAATACATTACATAATATAATGCAATATTATTAGTCATATTACATACAATTATTATATATATGATATTGTATTATTATTAGTATATTGTATTTATGTAATTATAAATATATCATATTCTAATAATAATGCAATATAATTATACTATAATATACTGCAATACTATTATTGTTACATATAAAATATAATATACAATTTTTACATTGTAGTAGTATATTGTATTATATAATTATCAATATAATATGATACAATATTCTAACAAGAAATCATATAATATAGTGCAATATTATTAGTCATATTACATGTAATATATATATTATATTGTATTATTATTAGTATATTGTATTACATTATATAACTATCAATATGATATAATATTCTAATACAATATAATTATACCATAATATATTGCAATATTATTAGTCATATTTTATATTGTATTAGTATACTGTATTGTATTATATATTATCAATATAATATGATACAATATTATAATACATTATAATATATAGTGCAATATTATTAGTCATATTACATGTAATATATAACTTACAATTATATATTATATTATTAGTATTTTACATTATATAATTATCAATGTAATGTAAAACAATATGCTAGTAATACAATATAATTATAATATTATAATATACTACAATATAGTGCAATATTATTAGTCATATTACATGTAATATATAACATACAATAATATATATAATATATTATTATTAGTATATAACATTATATATTTATCAAAATAATATGATACAATATTCTAATAAAACATAATATATAGTGCAATGTTATTAATCATATTACATGTAATGCATACAATTATTTTATATTATATTATTAGTATATTATGTTATATAATTATCAATATAATGTGAAACAATATGGAAATAATACAATATAATTATAATATATTATAATATGGTGCAATATTATTAGTCATATTACATGTAATATATAATATACAATATACAGTATATTATATCCTCCAGGAAATAAAGCCCGGCTGCTCATTGGAGGGAAGGAGACTAGAGACCAAGTTGAAGTACTTTGGCCACATCATGAGGAGACAGCAAAGCCTAGAGAAGGGAATGATGCTGGGGAAAGTGGAAGACAAAAGGAAGAGGGGCCGACCAAGGGCAAGGTGGATAGATGGCATCCTTGAAGTGACTGGACTGACCTTGAAGGAGCTGGGGGTGGTGACGGCCGACAGGGAGCTCTGGCGTGGGCTGGCCCATGAGGTCACGAAGAGTCGGAGACGACTGAACGAATGAACAACAAACAACATAATAATATATAATATACTGCAATATTATTAGTATTACATGTAATATATGATTATATTATTAAATATACTGTATTATAAATATATTGTATTACATTGTGTTATTAATATACACTAATTTTAATACAATATAATATAGAATATTATGATATACTGCAATATTATTAGTAATATTACAGTACATGTAATATATAACTGCGCCCGTACCTTGGGAAGTCTGACTTGGCCACGGTAGTCCACGCTCTGGTTACATCCCGTTTAGACTACTGCAACGCTCTCTACGTGGGGTTGCCTTTGAAGACGGCCCGGAAGCTCCAATTAGTCCAACGTTCGGCAGCCATGATATTAACAGGAGTGGAGCGCAGGGAGCATACTACTCCTTTGCTGCACCAGCTCCACTGGCTGCCGATCTGCTACCGGGCTCAATTCAAAGTGCTGGCATTGGCCTTTAAAGCCCTAAACGGTTCTGGCCCAAGCTACCTATCCGAACGTATCTCTGCCTATCAGCCCACCAGGACCCTAAGATCTTCTGGGGGGGCCCCTGCTCTCTATCCCGCCTGCTTCACAGGTGCGGCTGGCGGAGACGAGAGACAGGGCCTTTTCTGTGGTGGCCCCCCGGCTGTGGAGCGCCCTTCCCATGGAGGTAAGATCAGCTCCCTCGCTAATGGCGTTCCGGAAAAGATTAAAAACCTGGATGTTTGAACAAGCATTTGGTTAATCAGTGCAATGAATGCGACATTTGTTGTTGTTGTTGTTCATTCGTTCAGTCGTCTCCGACTCTTCGTGACCTCATGGACCAGCCTACGCCCCAGAGCTCCCTGTCGGCCGTTACCACCCCCAGCTCCCTCAAGGTCAGTCCAGTCACTTCAAGGATGCCATCCATCCATCTTGCGACATTACAGGAATGGAAAATGGACGACGGATTTGGATTACGACTCCAGTGATGAGATGTATTGTGTTGTTATTGCTGTGTTAATTTTGTACTGTGCTTTTATGGTTTTAAATTGTATATTGTTGTTTGATTTGTTGTTGTTCATTCGTTCAGTCGTCTCCGACTCTTCGTGACCTCATGGACCAGCCTACGCCAGAGCTCCCTGTCGGCCGTCACCACCCCCAGCTCCTTCAAGGTCAGTCCAGTCACTTCAAGGATGCCATCCATCCATCTTGCCCTTGGTCGGCCCCTCTTCCTTTTGCCTTCCACTTTCCCCAGCATAATTGTCTTCTCTAGGCTTTCCTGTCTCCTCATGATGTGGCCGAAAGTACTTCAACTTTGTCTCTAGTATCTTTCCCTCCAGTGAGCAGTCGGGCTTTATTTCCTGGAGGATGGACTGTTGGATCTTCTCGCAGTCCAAGGCACTCTCAGCACTTTCCTCCAACACCACAGCTCAAAGCATCGATCTTCCTTCGCTCAGCCTTCCCTAAGGTCCAGCTCTCACATCCGTAGGTGACTACAGGGAATACCATGGCTTTGACTAGGCGGATCTTTGTTGTCAGTCTGATGTCTCTACTCTTCACTATTTTATCGAGACTGGACATTGCTTGCTCCTCCCAAGAAGTAAGCGTCTTCTGATTTCCTGGCTACAGTCTGCATCTGCAGTAATCTTTGCACCTAGAAATACAAAGTCTGTCACGGCCTCCACGGTTTCTCCCTCTATTTTCCAGTTGTCAATCATTCTTGTTGCCATAATCTTGGTTTTTTTGACGTTTAGCTGCAACCCGGCTTTTGCGCTTTCTTCTTTCACCTTGCTTAGAAGGCTCCTCAGCTCCTCCTCGCTTTCGGCCATCAGAGTGGTGTCATCTGCATATCTGAGGTTGTTAATGTTTCTTCCAGCAATTTTCACCCCAGCTTTGCATTCATCAAGCCCCGCACATCGCATGATGTGTTCTGCATACAAGTTAAAAAGGTTGGGTGAGAGTATGCAGCCTTGCCGGACGCCTTTCCCAATCTTGAACCAGTCTGTTGTTCCGTGGTCAGTTCTGACTGTTGCTACTTGGTCCTTGTACAGATTCCTCAGGAGAGAGACAAGGTGGCTTGGGATGCCCATCCCACCAAGAACTTGCCACAATTTATTATGATCCACACAGTCACAGGCTTTAGAATAGTCAATGAAGAAGTAGATGTTTTTCTGAAACTCCCTGCCTTTCTCCATTATCCAGCGGATATTGGCAATTTGGTCTCTCGTTCCTCTGCCTTTTCTAAACCCAGCTTGAACATCTGGCAACTCTCGCTCCATGTATTGCTGGAGTCTTCCTTGCAGGATCTTGAGCATTACCTTACTGGCATGTGAAATAAGGGCCACTGTACGGAAGTTTGAGCAGTCTTTCGCATTTCCCTTTTTTGGTATGGGGATATTGTTGTTTGATTATCTTGTTGTAAACCGCGTTGAGTCGCCAGTTAGGCTGAGAAACGGCGGTATACAAG